CAGCTAATAAAACTTGTTAGCAGGAAGGTAAGTAAGGTGAAGCGATGGAATGAGACAAATGAGCTGCGCACTCGATTTGGATTGTATCAAGGACAAGACAGGCGGCGAACTGTCACCATCTTCAGCAACATTGACAAACATCCGAACGTCCGTGATCGAAAATTTTCAAATAGCGGGCACGCCGTTTAGATTCGCAGCGGTGTACGGTAGTGATGGCGCGAATAATAATTATTTGAATGCGGCATCGGGGCCACAGTCACGGGACGGGTGGCCGCTGACGGGGTCACCACTAAGCTCACGTCGGCCCCAATGCTATCCCGGAACACCCAGGTGACAGATTAAGCTAGCTGTGGGCCAAAAGGACCTAGGGGAAGGCTGCTTTCTTAATCAAATCTTTACAAAAATCAAAGTAACTAATTCATTTGTATCGATTGAAACTAGATAAAACTAGTTAGTTTGCCTATAAAGTTGAGGAGGTTCATTCCGGAGTTGTCTCTTTTTCTGAGCGTTCCCGGAGGTAGTATAGTAGTAGTTTTACCCTTGCCAATCGGCCCACAAGGATCTAAAATGAGGGGAGGCTTCGTTTTTGGAACCCCTAGACGAACTTTTTCCTAGGTCTTACATATATATTATAGGTTTACAGATGAGGAGGGCTTGCTGATCAGCTGATTTCTTGGATAAGCCATGTAATCGGCTTCCCATATGAATTCCAGGGGGATCTTGCAGGGGAAACAACATAAGTAAACAGAAATCGGTTATTCCCCAACAAATTAGCTACCAGTTCATCGATATGAAAAGGTTTCCCGATGTCATCTTTTTCCCAAGGAATGTGCCATGCACTTAACATTCATATGGAGTGGTAGGCGTAGCTGCTTCTTTGGTTGCTTATATTTTATCGTTTTGTACAGGACGAATTTCTGAATATTTCTGTGCTTTCTGAGAGTTCACCAAGGGGAGTAGCGTATTTGGGTGGCTTAATACAAGATTCGATACAAAGGTTCTTGGACAACGTTCGACCTCTTCCCCACCCCCCGGGCCTTCCTGCAGGTGAGCCTCTTGCCTCATCGTCCACCAGAATTCCCTGCTGTTGAGAAGAGAAGTCAAGTGCTATCAAACTATTATTTCCTGTGAAAACAGTACAAAGTTTTCCTTTTGTGTGATGTTATGGGAAGGGAAAAACCAATGTCTAGGTACTTCCCCTTGAATTGAAACCTTTATTTCTTTGGGTTCAAAAAATGCTCTATGCCGCTTTAGATTATTTTTCTGAAAGAATTAAAATGATCAGAATTCCTGGAAATGCGGAGTAGAAAAGAAACAAACCTGTTTCAGTGAAATTGAAATCGCTCGACCTGAGCCGGAAGCGTCGAAGGTTACCCAAAAGAAAATTTTAATTGCTCATGTAGATTGTTCAAAAATAAAAGATTAAGTAAAATACATAAGCTAAGAAGTTAGAAGAAAGTAAGACGGTTATTCATGAGTTATTAATCATCGAGTGGGGAAGAACTCTGCAGGTGAACCGTTCGATGATGATGGTCTCAAGACTGAGCATCCGAACTGGGTCATTACTGTTACTTCAGGATATTCGTAGATGCTTAGTAACTCGGAATAGCCCTCACCCATAGATGAACCATTCATTGTCCAAGGTGTAACATAGCGGATCGTCATCCATGTAACCAAAGGCACAGGCCTTGATTGAGACTCTGATTGCTCAAAGATTCCCTGAGTAAGCAACGACGTCCGACATCGAACAAGAACTCACGAAGATCTGTACGTGTACTCAAGGTACAATGTGTTTCACTGGAGCTTTCGAGCGCTAAGTGGATAGGAAGGAGGAAAAACATTCAATTAGCATCCGAAACTGCTTCATTATCATTCAAACTACTTAATATCTATGATATATATAAACCGCTAACTTTGTGTGTCCGTTTGTATGCCCGTTTGTGCGTCCGCCCAAAAATCACGTAGGCAAATAATTAAATGCGTTATCAATGAAGCGGATACATATATTTCATTAGATGAGGATCTAAGATCATTAGCGGTCGAATAAGCCTTGCCAAAAGTGATATCGAAGCAAAGAAGAATCGTGATCCTTCATTGAGTTACAAACTTCACTGGGAGCGGCCGTAAAAAGCGTTC